AAAAATATGGATGCAAAGTCTCTTGTCACATATGATTAGAAACATATTCATGTGTCTGTGTGAGTGCGTTTTTTTCGTAAAGGTGCACCCTGTCTACCACATCTATAAATGTCTCCTTTTCATAAAGAAGCATCAAATGACAGTCTCTTGAATCACAGCTGCCTGTGACATTCATTCCAACAGAATACCAAATACAACTAACAGTAACCCTTGGGCTTGTGGGACAAAGAAACCTTTCCTTGACTTTAGATGACTCAAAATTGTGCTCTTCATTTTAAAACACTGTAGTATCAGCTTCCAAATTATCTTCCTTTTAAGCTCTTCAATTATAACTCTCAAGTGCAAACTTATCACCAACCATAACTAACTGGAGCTTCCACTAGTTTGGAGCAACCATGTTTGTGTCAAGGTAGCCAGACAAGAAGCTACTTGACAACCTTTCTGAAGAAAAGAACAATTACTGAAGTAGTGAAATAATAAAGTGGTCCACAGACATTATTATTTCTACAGTCATTCCAGAATGCTAAAGCTATATCCACCAAGGAGCTTGCTCTAGAATTATAAATAAAAGCAGCCTGGACATTTGTTAATAGAACTTTTAAATTAGAAGTCGTAAACAAACAAACAGACAAACAAAATCTTAAGAAACCAACCCTAGACATTAGAAATATGGAGGAGGGGGGTTGGGGCTAAACATTAAATTAGTACAAAAATAAGTCTTAAATAAAAAGAGGGAAACACATACATTAGTATAGTAGGCATACTTTTATCTATAATGATTGGTTACTGACAAGACTTAACTGACAGAAAGAATGTTGATTTAACTTACAGTATTTTCGTAAGTATTCAATCACTTTGGCTCCTTGCAGATTTCTTTTTAGCATCAGCAAAACAAAATGCTCACCTTAGTATGCTGAGTAAGAAGCTTCTTTGTATGTAACACTACCTTACAGTTTCAAATGTTTATTGTTCATATTTAAAATAAATTCTTACTGACATTAATTTCTCCATCTTAACTCAAGTACACTTTAAAAATAAGAGTCAATTTACAAGGGTGATCCTAGCCAAGGCTTCAAGCAACAGCTGAGATAAATAGCCTGAACTGGCTATCTCCTGTAACCAGGCAAGAGACTTCCAGTGGAGGGATTGAGAAAACTTAAGTCACGTACCCTTTGACCTACAGTCTGTCCTGCTTATGGGATGTGCTAGGGTAAGTGTGGAACAGAGACTGTGGAATGTTTCAGCTTCAGACCTATGCTTTGAAAGTGAGCCTACCATTGACTCTGCCTGAAGTGCCAGGTCCCAAAAGCTAGATGGCCCAGACACCTAGGATAGAACAAACCAAACCAAACCAAAACAAAAAGTCCTAGGAGAAAAAAAAAATGTCAAAGTAATGATGCCTAACTATATTCTGCTGTACGCATAGACTGGTGCCTAGAGCACTGTCATCAGAGAACCTTCATTTATCAACTGATAGAAAAAGATACAGAGACCCCCAGCCACACATTAGACGGAGCTCAGGGAATCCTGTTGAAGTGAGAGGAAGGCTGGTAGAAGCTAGAGGGGTCAAAGACATCACAAGAAAACCCACAGAATCAACTAACCGGGGCTCACAGGAGCACACTGAGTCTGAACTGACATTCAGAGATTCCAGATGGAACTGACCCAGGCATTCTACATATATGTGACAGTTGTATAGCTTGGTCTTCTTGTGAGACTCCTAACAGTGGTAGCAGGAGCTGTCTTTGACTCTTTTGATGGCTTTTGGGACCCTATCTTTCAAATTGGGTTGCCTTGTCTATCCAGCCTTAATACAAGGGGAGATGCTTAGTTTTACTGCAACTTGATATGCCATGTGTTTTGTCAATATGCATAGAAGGCCAGATGTATGCAGGAGGAGAGGGTTGGGGGTGTGGGCAGAGGGGAAAGGACAGAGGAGAAACCTCTGTTGGGATGCAAAATACATAAATAGACTAAAAAACAAAAAAGTTTAAGAGCTAAACACCAAAGACAAAAATTTGAATCAGTAGCCATACTTATTTGTTTCACATAAAATTAGTTTATTCTTTCCTCAGGGTAGAAAAGAAGACAGAATCAACACCCCTAATCCAATTATGATAAAATTTATACCATACTTGGAAAATGGGTTAGCATTTTATAACTTGCAAATCTAGGTCAGGTCAGCATTTTCCAACTAGATTTTACTTAGAAAATAATATGTCTTTTAAAAATGGGAACCACAGAAATGGAGATAAATATTAGCCTGCAAATACAAACATACCCTATCTATACAAGTGACCCAAACTGACTGAACACATAACCTGTCCTTCAGACCCAGAGAACCATTACACATTTGGATTACTTAATATATAAATTTATCATTGAATACATCAACATTTCTTATCACTTGCATTTGATGTAACTGGCCAAGTTTCAGAACTACATAAAGACTTTCCTTACTCACTTTCCACTACAGCACTGTGGTTATGAGTCAAGCTACAGTCCAGAGTTCATACATTTCTGACAGTGTCAGTGCTATCTAGTCCAAAGGTGGAAATAATACTAGATTACTAGATTAAAAAACTGAATTCTTCATAGGATACCTCAATAAAAAGATTGAAAAGGTATTCTGAAGGGCAAAAGCAAATCCTAGTATGAAACAATGTATTTTGCAATCAAGAAAAGACACATCAAATAGAGGCTGTTTGATAAAACAAGAAAGCTGAATACTGCCTGCCGGCCATGTATCCCTGGCTGCTTACTAGAATCATTCAAAGCTTTAAGTCCCAACAACCATCCAAATTTAGATTTCAACTACAAAGAAACTATGATCTCTGGAAACTCAAAAGAGTTTATTCGCAGTTAAGTACTGAGAGAAGAGCAATGCATCTACATCACATTCTTATTAACCTTTCGCAATGGCTTTCAGAGCAAAGTTCATTGGAACATTTTCATAAGGTCAATTTATTTTTATAATACCAAAAATATATGCTTTCTACTGTCATTCTTATTGCTAATAGAACAAGAATTACCACTTCAACTTTTCTCTCACAAACCTCTCTTTTCCTCTTGGATTTCTTGTGTGATTAATGGCATCTTTGACCAGTAGATAGGACGAGGTTATAAATTGACAAAAGGAGCTGCTAAGTTTAAGCTTTACCTTCTATGTCATTTATAATCAATATGATCTTGGGCAATATACTTAATAGTCTTTATGTGTTAAAATATATTTATGGCTAGTAACATCGCTAATAAAACATTGAATACAATTATATTTTTTACAACACATAAAAAAGAAAAACTTACAGATTAAAAAAGTCCTACAGTTTAATAATACCATCACATATCCTTCCATAGCCATTCTATACATACAAGCCTACAATTCACCCACCAATGTGGGTTATGCATCCACAGATTCAACAAATCAAAGACTGAGAAACAACTGGAAAAGAAAGTTGCACATCTGCATTCAACACCAGACATTTTTCTTGTTACCATTCTGTAGGGAGCCACTAAAATAAATTTGAGGCCTGGTTTTACTTACTAGGTATGTGAGCCTAGGCAACTCAGTCACACTACTATTCAGTTCCTTTTACCTGTAAATATCCCAGAAGTCAGGAGTTTAAAGCAAGACAGCACTTAAGAACTCCTTTAAACTAGAACTTGATACACACTAAGTACTAGTAAATAAAAGTTTTTTTTTTTTAAGTTAAAATACCATCCATCTTAAACTATCCTGATTTTGCCTAGTATGAAGAAAAGGATGAAGAATGCACCTTTGATTTTTTTCTATAGTCAAAGTAATTCTACTTCAATTTCTTGGTAAATAGGCAAGAAAACATCTTCTTAGTAACAGCTTATTAACAATATCCTTATGGCCAAGTGTATATTATTGTGTATTAGGTAGCAAAAGAGGCTGTAGTGGACAATAAAATATTATCCCAGAGAAAAAAAGTGCCAATAAATGCGACCTCCTTTACCAGGTGCTAACTTTGTTTAGGGAAGAAACTCCAAGTTATGCATAAACACAAGCAGTTGTCAAGAAAGCAGGAAGGGCTAATTGAGCTTTTGACCACGGCTCTAAAGGCTGTGTATTGTAGATGATGCTGGAGCAACTTCTGGGACACACTCAGTAGCAACTTTTTAGATAACACACACATGCTTTCCCTAGGAATATGCTTATAAATGGCTTCTAAATTCACCTAGGTGATGGTGCAGGGGGCTTTGGCATTTACCATACCAATGAGAGTATGTCTTCATACATAGCTTTCAAGATCTACCAGTAACTTCTACTTTATCTATGCCTTGTCCACATGGGGCTTCCTGCTCCTTGCCTCTAACTTTGTTGTTACCCTTTTTTTGATCTGCAGTGCAAACTTTTCTATGGTCTAAACTATTAAACAATCCATAACACAAACATGAAATCTGCAAGGCCTAAGCTAGACATTACTGAGGAACCCCACTAAGCTGCTACAGGACAGACCCACCTCTGCAGGGTACTCAAGTCATTAAAAACATCCGTTTGCAAAGGGGCATCATTTGAATTAAAAAATGGTTGTGTGTGTGTGTGTGTGTGTGTGTGTGTGTGACCCTATCTCGGTGTGTGTGTGTGTGTGTGTGTGTGTGTGTGTGTGTGAAAACTGCGGGATGGGTGATACACGGTACATATAAAAGAAAGGGGAAAAGGCAACGGAAACTCTGGCGTTTGAGAGTAAGGTCCACAGATACACATAACAACCAGTTGAACATGCCACTGCAATTGTACTAAACAAGCCAGCAAAAGGCCTCTTCGCGAGGGGCTGAGCCCACTACCAGGCTCTTCCTAGGACTCTTGGCCTGAAGCTCCCGGATGAGCTTCAGGGGCCGCCCGACTCCCCGGCCCGTGCACCCTCGGCGCCCGGGCTCCCGCGCCCTACAGCGCCCGCACAATCCCCGACAACCCGCGCGAGCCTGCATCCCTCCATGAAGCTCAAGCGCGGCCCTGCAGTCCGGGTTCTTACCATAGTGAGGCCGGTGCTGGTCCAGCCACATCACCCTTCCGGGCCGGGGCGGAAGAGGAGGCACGCCCGCGGTGCTTCCCGCTCTCTCCCGCCGCCCGGTTGGGCCTATCGCGGCGTCTCCGCCCAGGCTGAGCCATTCGGACTCCGTGATAGGTTTCTGTTACCGGAAAAGGCGGGGCTTGGGCGACGACTCGCAAACCACGGAATTAGCGGACTCTCTCATTGGCCACACAGGATTATCCCTGGGTGCCTGCTTCTTTTTTTGAGGAGAGCGGAAGTGGAGTCACTTAGAGGTAGGGCCCGGAAGTGGCTACGACATTTTTCCATATTTTCCATGCTATTTACTTGCGCTTTCCTTTCGTTTCTTCTCATTTCAATCTCCTTTATTTCCCTGACATGTATCTCTAAAGCTGCTCAGTGCGTAGCTTTCATCCTGTTTATGACTTCTGAACCTTTTGTTTGTGGACCCTAGGGGACATTCAGGGTTTCCTAAGGTGTGCACCTGTTGGGATCCCTGTTAAGTTTCTCTTTTTGTGTCAAATGGACTTCCAAGAGAGGTTCGCTGGAAATATGCTGTATTTCTTTGTGATGGACACTTGTATTCAGAAGGCTGTGATCAGTTTGTGGAACCAACTCCACTACTCTTTACCAGGCCCTGTCCTTTTTGCATGCTTTGCATCCGGGACTTGGACATTCTAGGCCCTGAAGAGAGGGAAAGAACTCTGTGGTAGCTACTGGAAAGGAACGGCCCATTTCTGAGGGGAGTAATTGCCTAGTATAATGCCATTAGCTGAGGCACTGCTTTACCTCCAGTTTAACATAAGAGTTTTGTAGATATGGGGAAGGTGTGATTTGTTGTGTTCAATTATATATAGTTCTTGGAACAATTTTGAAGTCGGGCAATTTTTCACTCTTATAAGTTATCGCAATTACGGAAACCTGTAAACTTTTTTCTTAGACAGGATGGTTTTCTTTTTTTATTCAGAATGTTACCTATTCTTTAATATATTAGTTTGGAAGTTGTGTAGAAAGCATGGGTGAAGGAAATGGATGTAATACATTGATTTATGAGCCCTATTTAACTGCATCATGAGAATCTAATACTTAGAGGAACACAGTACTTTTTACTTAGTGCTATATGTGATTGCATTTGTTACTGTATGGCATCTAAGATTTTGTTTGAAATTATAACTAGATTTTTAAAATCAACTATACACAGTTGCTAAAAGTTCATCAAACATTCTAATTAACGATCTTCCTTATTAGTGGTATCAAGACTGCAGCAATGGAAGGGATTTTTTTTTTTTTGAGAATTTTAATGGGGGAACAGGGAAGAGGGCAATAGGAAACGATTAAGTATATAGTACCTTCCACATGTTATTTAATAATTTCAAGTTGCTTTTGTGTTATACCTTGCTATTCAAGTTGAAGAAAAAGAATGTTCCAAATGTAGGAAATATGTTCTGCAGCTCCATAAGTTTAGCTTCTATAGTAATGAAAAGTGTTGGTAGATGTTATGAATGTCTTTATTCATGTAAAGATTTTTAAGTGCTACCTTTTGATGTCCCAGATTGATATATCTGTAGGAGGCTATGCTTCAGGCTCTAGTAAAGAGTACAGGAAACTAAAGTTGTTAAAGATGGTAATTGGTTTGTTACATTTATGGACAATTTAGGCCATGCTTTCTTACAGACCTTAACTTCAGAGTAGTAGCAAATAGAGTTTGTCAATTGTTAAGTTATCCATAGAAGTAGATACTGTCAGGTTATAAAACTGAACGTGTGTGTATGGTATTTATTGTATTCAGGTAAATTAGCAGAATTAATCCAATAGTAAGACCTATGGTGAAGTTGCAAGGTAATTAGGCACACAGAGACCCTGATTTTGATTGAAGTGAATGATTTCTTTCTTTCTTTTGTTCTTTTTTTTTTTTTTTTTCTTCCTTCTGGTAGCTCTGCGGTAAATTTCTTATTTAGAATCATCTTGGGTCATTTTCCTCCAAACAGTAAAACTTGACCATGTCATTCCATTATACAAACTATTGTTTTCTTCTGGAATACTTTTGGAAGAGTATTTTCAATTTTCATGTATGGATATCCACCGAGTGATTTAAAATTTTCTGGAGGACGGCATTTAGCTTTCCTCACTGTCATAAGGATTAATATATATATATATATATATATATATATATATATATATATATTTCTCCAGGGCTAGAGAAGGAAAAATGATTCATTTTCATATATTATTCACACAATAAAAGGTTAAAAAATTAGTTCAGTTTTTTATACTGCCATACCCCATTCTCTACATTTTTCTCTTGATTTCTGATATTGTTTGTTGTTTCTTTTTACTTTAGTTATTAATACTACTCAAAGTATATTAGTGGATTTTATTTTTATTTATCTATCATCTGCCCACCCATGTATTTATTTATTTTTGTACTTTTTCTGATTCTCAAACAAATACCTAAACTGAGGCTTTGACTGATTCCTGGTCTCTATGTGTTTCATTCTCTTCCTCCATGACTCCTAGATTATGGCATGACAATTTTGTTTGAATGAAGTGTTGTGTTATAGCTTTCATCTTAAGAAATGTTTCTAGCTGCCCTCTTTACCCTGGGAGCAGCTCCCCTGCCTTGCCATGCCCCTCCCGGCTCAAAAAATGTGTGTCTGCTTCAAGTTCTTCTCTACCTGCTCCTGGAAGCACCTCTCAGCTGCTGATTCATCTACTGTGTGCAGTGGAATTGAATCGACCACGACATTGACAGCTGGGGGCTTCAAGAGCTTGGCAGTCCCGAATCCTCTGACCCTACTCATCCCTAGCAGCAGCTTCCAACCCAGTGTTGTTTCAAGGGACATCAACACAGCTGCCAAGTTGATTGGGTCTGGCCCTGTTACAAGTGTGGTGTTTGGCTCTGGTACTGGGATTGGGACTGTTTTGGGAAGCCTCATCATTGGTTATGCTAAGAACTCTTCTCTGAAGCAACAGATCTATGAGATTCTGGGCTTTGTTCTCTCAGAGGCCATGCGGCTCTTTTGCCTTTCTCATCCTCTTCACCATGTGAAGCAGCTGTCTCCACTTCCACCTCCCATAGTTCTTTCATGGCTTGTCTGTCCTGTATGTTCTTTTGCTGCACCTCCTGAGGAAGTCTGGGCAATGTATTTTACTCAGGGTTTGATGGAAAGAAGACAAATACATATTGTATTAATAAGAAAAAATGATTCTCTTAATCTTTTTACATTTCAACAACATCTATTTACTTTCCTCAGCAATAAAATTTCTGTGTAGTTCTCTTTTTTTGTCCTAGTTTCTAATGTTTCATGGTTCATTCTTCAAAATAACTTCTGCTCCCATACAGCACCAAGATTCTCTTCTTAATGTCACTAGTGATCTCCAGATGTTGATCATCTCCTATCATGGTCATCTTTGGCCTATCAATTGATCACTTCCTTCCCCAGGATATTTTTTTCTTTTTGTTTTAACTTGATCTTCTGGCCATGGTCATATGCTTTTCTTCCTATCTCCTTGGTTTCTCCTTTTAGACTTGCTTTGCTGAATCCTTTTGTTCTTCCCAAACATTTGTTGTTGAAGTGCTCTATTACTCATTATTTTTATGCCCCTTTCCATTTTTGTCTCCTTTAGATGGTATCAAGTCTTTAAACTTAAAGTATTCATATATCATTTTTACACATTCATATTTCTCATTACTTCTTTCTCTAATGCTATTTACCATCTAGTTGTCTATCTGAGCATTGATATTTGTAATTTAAAATTTTTATTTAAAAATTTATTTAAAAACTACTGAGTATGTGCATGTTTGTGTGTGTATCTGTGTGTGTGCCTGTGTGCCTGTGTGCCTGTGTGCCTGTGTGCGTGTGTGTGTGTGTGTGTGTGTGTGTGTGTGTGTGTGTATGCATGCGCAGTCACACACACATACATGCCTGCTCCTCTGTATGTGCACCATATAGATGCAGGATCCCAGGGTGACCAGAAGAGGTTGTTAGTTCCCTGGATCTGGAGTTAGACAGTTGGGAGCTGCTTTATGTGTGTACTGGGAGGCAGACCTAGGTCCCCTGCAATAGCAGCAGGTGCTCTTAGCTGCTAGTCTTCTTTGCAGCCCCTCCTTTTGCATTTAAAAAGGGCAGTACAAACATTTCCTGTCATACTTAGGATTTCTATTCTTGTGAAGAGACACCAAGATTATACCTACTCTTATAAAGGAAAACATTCACCTGGTTTGCTTGTTATTGACATGATGGGAAACGTGGGAAATGTGGCTGGAGAAGAGCAGAGAGTTCTATGCCTGCCTGGATTGGCAGGCATCAGGAATAGAGACACTGGGCCTGGCTTGAGCATTTGAAACCTCAAAACTCAAACGAGTGACATACTTCCTCCAACAAGGCCACACCTCTTAATATTGCAACTTCCTGGTGACACAACATTCAAATCTATGAGAATATGGTGGCCATTCCTATTCAAACTACAATAATCTCAAAGTGAACACTTTTCCTTCCAAACCTGTTTTATATGTTTTCATTTTGGTTAGTGGCAACAGTGTGCAGCCAGTTTCTGTAAGTTATCTCTTTGAAATTGAGCTAGGTGGTGGGGGTGCACACCTTTAATCCCAGCATGCAGGAGGCAGAGGCAGATGGATCTCTGTGAATTCCATGCCAGCCTGGTCTATAAAGGAGTGCCAGCACAGCCAGGACTGTTACAAAGAGAAACACCGAATCCTTTCTTTTATATTCCACCAAGTCCATCACCATATCTTCTTCACTCTGCCTAAAAAACATATCTGGAATCTCCAAGTCTCTTGCCTTTCCTGTTAGTACATTGATTGTGTCTTGTTTGGATTTCTCTTTTATTAGCCACTGTAGATTTTATTGCATGGATTACAGAATTAGTATTTTTACTGGTTCCTGGTTTTTTTTTTTTTCAGTCTTTGCTTCCAGATATTGGTCAGACTATTGTTTTTTTAAAATATATGTCAAATATATTACATTACGTTGCAGGATTCTAAATGTACCATCTTATCCTGAAGATTACAAATAGAGAATAAGAACATCAACGGGAAAAATGTGAATTCCAAGAATTTATTAAGCCCATCTGTTCATACTTTCCTTCTCTTTTAATTTCAGCAGAGTCGGGGTCCTCTCCCATAAGATATCATCAGTCCAACTCATTCTTATTTTAATAATGTGATGAGGCACAGAACTGAGATTTAATTAGAAGTGATTTTGTCGAAAAGGAGTGGGACTTGCACTGCCTCCTGCAAACCTAACATTTACAC